ACAAACAGGCGCTCAGCTAAACATAGAAAATACGTACTGAGGATTTGCTGACTAAAAGATCACCGTCGTAGAAATTGGTCACGATCACAATGTTGCCACTGTTTGTTTCCGAAAGTGAAGAGGAAGGAGAGTGGATTAGGATGTTAGGAACACTGTAGCTATTTCGACCCTGTAATGAAATAAATGACTAAACAGGAAAAAGTAATGTGACAGGATTTAAGGTTTTACACATCCTTCCCTTGACAGATGAACAGATAAGAAGATTTATGGCTGTGACCAGGGAAGTCCATCGGAAATTGCTCAGGGAGATCGATTTGAGATCCTATGTAATACAGGAGCAGGATGAAATACAGGAATTTGTTCTCCCACAGATGTGGAGTGCACGTAAACCGCGCGACAAAAACAATCGAAGAGTCGATCCAAGAACTCCTTGACGGTTCTTACTCAAATGGACGAGCGAACGTTTTCAGGGGAACTTTGATCCATAAATTGTCAAAACTTCGAAAATGCAAATTAATAAAAGTACCCACTGTCACAGTTCTTGTATCACTTGGTAGCGGTTTGAAGCTCAGTTTATGTATGGATATTCCCCGCAGCATTCGCCCAAAAAATTTACGAAACGTTCATCGATTTTATGCGCATCGAAATGAGCTGTACATTTGAATGTACACTTACTCATTCGTTTTGTTTGACCGATACGTCGGAGACAATGTCTGACGTTGGCATGCTAAACGGCCTGTACTTTTGAATCACGGGCGGTGGAACACACCACACTATATCCACCACAGGCCTCACTCAGTCGCTCTAACTCAGACCAACATGCAGGAGTTCCGAATATTGCACTATCAGAGCGGAGAGCATTGAACAAACTGAGACAGGTAGATAGTATTGTCACTACCAAGGCCGATAACGGTAAAGCCACGGTAGTGCTGAACAAGAGCGACTATCTTCAAAAGGTCAGGCAGCACCTCGCCGATGGACCCCATCGACAAATTACCGGTAGCAGTGTTACTTCAATAATGAATAAGAGTAGGGTTGAAGTTGGCCGATATTTAAGATCCATCATCAACCATTTAGGGCAAGGTAGGAGGCATCGGTTGTACCCAAAACGTGCGATTCAACCACGACTCTACGGACTGTCAAAAATCCACAAGACAGATGTACCGATAAGACCAATAGTGGATAGTATCGGTTCGTCGTCACGTGAGCTAGCCAGATACTTAGCTGGTATACTGAAACCACTCACGCAGAAATCAAGCACCTTCGTTAGTTCTTACGATTTTGCCAATAAGGTCGCAGGGCTTCCTTTGTAGATGGAAGAAGTCCTCGTGAGTTCTGACGTAATCACAACGTACACAAACATCCCTAGGGCGGGTGTTCTGGAGGTAACTAGGATGTCATGACTGGCAAACAAGACACTTGAGAAACGGAAACAGCTCTCGGTGGATGAAATAGTTGAGGGTATAAGAGTGTGTTTGAATATCGACCAGTTTGTTTTTGACAAAGCTGTTTACTCACAAGAACAAGGTCCTGCAACTGAATCTTTAATATCCTCAGTTTTAGCTAATATTTACATGGAGGACTTCGAACAAATAGCCTTGGCCGGATATCATTGTCCACCAAAAGTTTTTTGGCGTTATGTTGACGACACGTTTGTTGTAATCAAACGAGATAACGTGAACAGCTTCCACGATTATCTCAATAGTTTAAACACATACATTGAGTTTAGCATGGAAATAGAGTCCACCTCGGGCACATTACACTTTCTGGACTGTATAACACATAANAATTGAAAACGACTGTCTACCAGAAACCAACAGACACGGGAACCGTCTTAAGCTATTCATCAGCATACCCAAAGTCCGTGTACGCCAGCATTGTCTCATCGACGTTTCGTCGATTTAGAGCGCTGTGCACAGAAGAGATCGACCGGACGGCAGCTCAAATCGAGATTGCCAACAAACTTCAAGAAATAGGATACCCAGTGAGTTTGATCAGGCGTCAAATAAGAAAGATATTGGCTCCAGTATCTAGACCCAGTAAGGAATGGATTGGCATAGCAGTCATTCCATATAAAGCATGAACATCGGAGGTTATTCGAAGACTGCTGAACTCAGCCAACATTCAAGTAGCCATCCAAAAGGAAAAACGCTTTGCTCAGTCTTGGTGCAATTGATAGATCCCTTCTTGGTTGAAAGGACTATGGACTGTGTGTATAAAACTAGCTACAACGATTGCAATAAGGTTTACATAGAACAAACCGCCAGGGAATAGCACACCAAAATTGCGCGAGCATAAAAGAAGGATTAACGAACCACCAAGGAATGCAGAAGAATACCAAATGCTGGTCAAAGACTCAGCGATAGCGGTGCATGCCTTAGATACGGAACATAGAATAGATCTGGATAAAGTGGAGGACGGGGACTGCGATTCACACCAAAGCGGCTGATAGCCGAGGCCGTGGAAATCCCCAAGCATCACAGTGTGAGGGTGTTGAACTGGCGAGCATATGAAAAGCGGTCTTAGATGAGCGGAGTTAACACATAACTGTGTCCGGGTGTCAATGCACGTAGAATCATTAGGGATCCCGGGGGGGGGGGGGAAATTCCACAGAATCCCTGTTCCTTACACAACTATCGTAGCACTAGTTCAAGAGGGATCTTCACGTAAAACGAACCGGAAGAGCTAGAACCTAGGCTGGACCCAAATCCATGAAGGTTTTCCCGTTGGCCTAACACTTGTTCACCCACCCTAACACACAAAATTCCTCGGTCGGCACCTAACAGTTTGACTTAGCTGATTGGTTCTACTTCCGCCTTAAATCTCGACCAACCTCGTAATTGAGCCACTTGGTCAGTAAATTCGCGCTTTAACCACTGAGTGATGTCGAGCTATTGGTGTTTATCAGGAGATTCTACACTTCAGCACGCCGTATCGAGATTCGGGCTCAAACCGGCACGGATTTAGTGATGATGAATATATTAGGATATTCAAGGTAGACTCATGGAATATTAAACCGGCAACTGTATTACTCCCACCGTCTAGGAAAACACTGTTAACGGCAATAACCAGATATACCTAAGCAGCTTTGCAGGAATCATGCGGTCCGCCTTGTCTGCTTCGAAGAGCGATTGCCACGTGTTTGTCGAACCAGGGATGACAAAACCAAATTCGAACGTCCATTCTGGAGGAAAAGGGAACCGGAAAAACCTCGTCAAACGCCTCGAGACATTGAAATCGAATGAAGAAGCGAATAAACATGCCACAATAGTAATTGCACTGCACCTGAATGTCTCCGATGAGAATGAAAATTTGTCTCATAGACGGAAAACAGGAACTCCCTACAAAACCAAACAACTCCGATTAAAAAAATTTAGAAACTCATGCGAAAAAAACCAGTCATCTACTGGTACTACGTTGCTGCTACACTGGGAAAGTCAGCATCAAGAGTAACGGCGCGCATAAAAAAATTATCGAAAACCAGTCACTCAGTTGTTCGCTTCTGGCGACTGGAACATACACTGTTACAAGCGCACAGGTGAATAGCTCATGGGACATATAAGAGAATAACTGACAGACTGCTGTGTTCTCAGTCACCGTGGCAACCAGTGAGTTTATGAACGTACTGAGACGCCAAAGGTAGGGTGAGTGTAATCCAAAGAACAATGGGTTGGACAGCATCAATAGAGAAAGAAGGGAACTAGTTCAGTTGGTTATTAATGTGTTGAAACTCGAGAACGAATTGAAATATTATGAAATTCATCCTGATGATGATTCTTGATAAAGGTGAAACAAGTTTACAATGTTTCTGAGCTTTTCAACACAGATTGGCCTCACTTACAGAATGAAATATTGGTTAAAATATGGCAACTAATTGATAAAACTCTTTAGTAGTCTCAGCGGAAAGTTTATTGTTCGAGCATCTCGTAAGAACTACTTTAATTTAAACTGCCAAAAGCTGTGGTCTCCACAGAACTCACCGTCTGAGTAAAAGCTATAAACAAGGGATAATGTGTGGGAGAAGTGTGTGATCGGTCAACCTCCCATGACACTATCATCGTCCTCCAGTTCGGATGGCAGTGGCCTAATGAATAAATACATTAATAGCGTAATAATAAAAATAGTCCAGTTGGAACAGTCTTGCGGTGCAAAGGGATCACGCTACCAGAAGGAAATATGTGGGCTGAGATACAGTCAGGTTGCCCAAACCTAGGTGGGAGCAGCCGGTCAAGGACTTTCCGATCATCAAGTTCACGCCTTAACCACTGAACCATCTCGGTTTCGGTTTAGACATCATCCTATATTTCACCAGTGCAGGGGATAGTGAAGACTGACTTTCAAAGTACAGAGTATGAGCAATAGTAACCTATATGGAGTTCATTCGGAAGCATTTGACGTGTTGTTCACTTAAAGGTTTGGTCCAAAACGAAGCAATAATCGAACACATCATTAGTGCCCTCTGAAAAAACCTGGTGAAGTACAGTGGTCATAGCTTCGTTCACCAAAAAAATGGAGAGGTGGAATAAATAGCTGCACACTGGAGGCGGTAGCTGACACAATTGATGCCTACATCAAGAGTGTCAGTTGACTTTTCATTGGGGAGATTGGGAAGGGAGCCATAGATTGAAGGAAACAGCTTGGATGGACGGGCACCATTGAGGGTAAGACTGGGCAATGTCTCTAACCATTGATGTGTCCCACCTGGGGGTCCTCATACGAGGAGACGACAATGACCAGCGCATATGAGTTTGCTGGTAATGGCTTATGTGCTTCGCTGCCAACCCATTGTTTGGACTCCTCTGGCTCGTTCCAATCCTCCGCGTGGTTGCGCGAAAAGAGCCCTTCGAAGAAGTCAGGCGACTGGCATACGGAGCACGTGGCCATACCAGTGCAACCAATGAAGCGTGGTCAGTTCATCTATCGTGAACCAGTTAGTTTTTCCGAAAACCATTTTACATACTTCAGTATAACCGGTACGGTGTTCCCGCCAACCTAGGATCCGGAGATAACGATGGTCAAACACTGAAAGGTTTTTGACGTCCTCGGCGGTCAGGTTTCTCACCCCGTATAATTATATGGAGCGCGTCGCTTCATTGTAAACTCGACGCTTGACGGCTAAGCTGATGTCACACCTAAGCCACAGGTGACGGAGGTTCGCGCAAACTGCTCTGGCCTTCCGAATCCGAGTGGAAATATCATCTTTCGCAAGACGACCAGGATTGATGCGACTGTCCAGGTACACAAAGTTGTCTACTATTTCAATCGGCTCATCCGCAAGCATAAGGTCAAGCAACGATGGTCAAACACTGAAAGGAATCGCTTTACACTTTGCAGGTGTGAATCGCACGCCAAACCATGGGGCAAAATTACTCGGATTACTTAATACTGCTTGGATAACAACAGCGTCAGACACAAAAAGCCACGTCGTCTGGATGCTCGATATCTGTGAGCGGACGCCCCGGGGAGAACTTCGATCCCACAGGCCGTAAAGGCTGGGATTGGATCTTCCGTAATCGAATCAATGACGAAGTTGAAGGGGAGAGGTGAAAAAGGACAGGTGTGAGAAATTTTTTTCCTAGCCGCATGAGTTTGGCAGACAGAAAAAGAACTGGAAATGAATTCGGAGAAAAATATTGAGTTGTGCATGACCGCACTAGATGGACCACTGATCTTCCCTTCGAGATAAGGGAAAAGACATGCATTCAGTCTTTCGACCGCTCTATCCTGTTTTGCAACGACCAGCAGGATAAACAGCTCGCTAGAGGCACCAGTGGTGACATGACAGCTGCATCTGTGCTACGAAGTTTTCCGCTACAACGCATGGTTCATCAGGCGTGGCTTCCGGCATGTATCGCATTGTGTGGAGTGAGTGCGGCGTCACACTGAAACGTAAAACACCAGCACCTCATTTATGATGTGGCGCTTTAGTGCTATCATGATTAGGCCGACTGACAGATCTCAACGGACTTCTACAAGTTTGCTCACCGACCTTATCCTTTCGAATTCTCACCGAATTCACAGACTCACACAGAGTAGCGCATCCTGATCCAGGCTAACGGCTCCGCACTGGATACCAGAACACTCCCCAGGACTCTGCTTGTATGAAAACGTACACCTAGTAGCTAGAGCTATTAGCCATTTTCTCCAAGTTAGTTTAGATGACCTCGTTACGCCCATTTACGGAGCTTCCATGATCTATTCTTGTGGAGAGATTATCGAAAATCCTCCTTAGGGCTTGATTACGACCAGGCGGGATCCTTTCCTCCCGGTCCACCGATTGTCCAGTGTTTTTTTCAGACGCGCACACGTTTCGGGCTCGACAATGAATAGCAAAAACTGGACAGCTACAGACTTACTTGGTGCTGTGGCAAGTGCCTGTACGATTGGACCACCAGGGATAGTATTCAGACACCAATGACAGGCAAAATATCCAAAAAAGACAATATGGGTGCAAAACGTTTCGCGCTCAAACAAGCAACTTAGCCATATGTTTTGTGTGAGAAAGCGTGCAACTGCGTGGGCTGCGTCTTACTATTCCAGTATACATTGGTGCCGTTGGGAATGAGAAATACATCTCTGTGGTTTGGAGAAGACAGTGTAGATCTGTCAAGTTTCTAGATTGCCCCACTGCAACTGACGCAGATTAGTATACCTTCATGATTAGCGTTTCAGTGTGACCTTGTGGTGCGAATTACTTGGCTTTAGATTGTTCAGAAGTCAGATGGGTTGACGAACATGTTTTCGGCAAGGTCTTTTCAAGTCATACAATTGCAAAGGTTAAGAGAGCGGTATTTAACATATTTGAATGAGTATGGTGTAAATGGACAGGGAATCGAGTGAGATTATGTTGGCTACCTATCAAAGAACCATTAGTTCAGGTCGCCAATAGGATGACTTGAGCTAGTCAGCTCGGGGGTTGTTGTAGTTGTGTGTTCAGCACACGATGCATGTGTGGGGGGAGGTGAGTTGGACCATGGTAAGTACAACACACGAACAAAGCGTTTTTGCCGACAAAGGATCGGGTCGCGATGTCGTATGGCGATAGCTTCAGCCACTGCAATTGTGCGCTGCTGTACTGATCTGGGTTGGTTAGCCGGCGCCTTGTAAACAACGCGGAAACTTTGGCTGGGTATCACGTTGTGTGCAGTGTCAGCTAAATGTTGTACTACGGAGCTGGTTATCGTCCTCCTGGTTCCAGAAGCTAGCCAGGGTGGATTGTGTTCCTTCATTCTTTGGCTGAGTTGCCTAGTCGTGCGTCCGATGTATTCCGCTGCACAGCAGCAAGAGAATGAGTAAACTAACATATTTTGGGCGTGGACAGGCACTCTATCCTTGAGATTAAAGGGGCACAAACGATTGCTGGTGAACCAGGTTCGGAGTTTTGCGGCCGGGAAAACTTTGTTCAGACTGGTGGAAAGTCTTCTGTTCAGTAGATCGGCCGGTATATCTCCCTTAAACGGGAGGTTAATGTAAACTGGTTTCCTTCCAGCTGTGGCTGTGATGGTGTTTGCTTCTTCCCTGTTCAAATGTTTTGTAATAAATTTGTCGGGGAATCCATTGTCTCTCAGGACGTTGGTGAGAGTTTGGAATTCTTGTTCCAGTGCATCCTCAGAGCATATTTTCTTCGCTCTGTTAGTTAGGCTGCGGATCAGGTTCCGTTTCTGCTTTAGTGGCACGAAGCTGCTAAAGTTGATGTATTGACCTGACCAAGTAGGTTTCCGGTACACCGATCGTTTCAGTGTACCATCGTGACGTCGTTGTGCTGAACACACAACTACAACAACCCCCGAGCTGACTAGCTCAAGTCATCCTATTGGCGACCTGAACTAATGGTTCTTTGATAGGTAGCCAACATAATCTCACTCGATTCCCTGTCCATTTACACCATACTCATTCAAATATGTTAAATACCGCTCTCTTAACCTTTGCAATTGTATGACTTGAAAAGACCTTGCCGAAAACATGTTCGTCAACCCATCTGTGTTCTTACTATAAATGGGAATTTTCGGAATATTGTTCAGAAGTGTCCCGAATATTCTTTTCGAATTTTTATTTGCTTTGTATGCAACATCGTGAAAAAAATTTGCCCGCCTGTTGCGAAATATACCGCATCCCATTGAGAAAAACTGTATTGAACCAACGCGAAGCTTCGTTGCCAAAGTAACCACTCTATCCACACAGCATCATTATCTATACCGGGCCACCCAGTACCAGATAGAATCGGCACACCCTGAACAATCAACGATTTCCCAAGCGTCCCGTTTTCCGTCTCAGTTACGGCTTACTGCAACACTTAGAAAGACATCAGTCGTGTCATCTGCCTCAACATCCATTTGACCAACACAGTGGGTGAGACTACCGGGCGTTGTTCGGGTTTCCCAAACCATAGCGCATTTGTCATGAGATCCACGGAACATTCACTGTCGATCGGCCGAAGTTCAAAAACGCCGTCAGGGTAAGGTTGTTGCACTTGGTTGACTTTGTTTGTGTACTCGTAGGGGTGTGGACACAAAGCATGTCTTAGTGTGTTTGCCACCAGGTTCTTCAAAGGCACGTGCTGGTGATGTAAATTAGGAGAAAATTTCCAGAGTAACTGTAGGTGTTCGGGTCTCTCAAGAGGGTATAGGGATAAACTGTTTCACCATCAAGAATAGCCGAAACGACTGAAGATGGGCCACTAATAATAGAATAATAATAGCCGTTCAGCTTCTTTTGCCTATCCGCCATGCAACCCGAAGGAAGCACGAGGGCCGGGGTACTGCCCAAATCTAGACAGAAGTCGAGATGCAGAGATCTGGTTCAAACCACCGACCTTCCCGTCAGTAAATTCGTGCTCAACCCACTGCCACTATGAACTAGGTAAATTATCAAGAGCTGTCCTTCAATGTTGGCGTCCTAAAGTATGACATGCACCTCGCCCTTGCAAACTGTCGCCCAAATCAATCAATGGATAACGGATGACACCAGTACGTGGTGCTTTGCACATCAGCAATTATAACACAGATTTCCCATTCACTGGTTAAAAATGTGAACACTTCAGCAGCAGTCCCTTTAGTTGGTGGTTCCCATGTAAAGGCGCACTGACACGTTGACGCGACGTGACGTGTGCATTTACATAAACCACTGACATATACTGGATAAAGTACGTGAGCCGCTTGCACACCACCGCTCACCAGCTTAGTCAATAAGAAGACGTGGAACTAACAGTATCCGGTTCCCCCAGGTTGGGGGCTGGAACATGTGTGGCAACTTGCTTTGTTAAAATATCGCCTGCTCTCACGACCTTACTTACGCTTACCACCGGCGCCTTGTGGTTAGGCTTTGAAACCAAAGACTTCGGTGGAGGGCCTTAATAGTCCTGTCTAGGAATGGAGGTCCTCACACTATCCCGTCCCACGTACAACCATGAGATGCATATTTACAAATAACCTCATGCAACATAAGCCGTCGCGTGGTGTCATCTGCCGGCTCGCCTTACTTGATGTGTATAGCAGGGCAGGTAAACGAAAACAGGCTACTGCTGATGCCACACGTCTTCCTTTCTCACCCTCCTGTCAGCAATATCCCCATAGGCCCATTCTTGAGGACAAAAAAAACTTATTCTATGCCCATTGTCATTAGCTGCAATATCCAGGGTCAACTCGACAGCCACGATCGAAAACACCATAAGAGTACTTGTCAAACGCCCCTGCTCAATTCACCTGACAGCCTTTAACGTTGCATTCAAAATAAGCCGGACAAGAGACTACTTTTGCATGTGCGCTGGACTCGCTTTTCATTAATGTGCGCCGTTTGTCTATAAAAAGAATTGAAGGTTCAAATACGGTTGTTGCACTGGCCTCGTAATCAGTTTCCTGTCGCAACTGGTTGCGCACCTCGGGTGA